ATTCGGCAGTAATAACGAATATCTTTTTTAGAAAAACCCTTTAAAACAGGAACATTGACCCGGTCAGAAAACGTTTCGCTTTGTGTTGTAGGAATGAAAACATCGAATGCGACATAAATCTGACAGCCGAGACAAACGTAACTTTATATTTTGATATTGAGTACAATATAAATATAGATTCTAATTGTCAATCTGGCGTATCAGCGGAAGCAAACTATCCAAGTTATCGCATATTAGCATGCCCGAATTCTCCACAAATTGCATTGTCAACAGGACATCTGGTTGGTTGAATTGGCAGAAAACATAATATTATCTTTAAAATTTTAAAATCCTACAGCATTTTACATGAAAGAAAATTGCTGTATTTCAATCTAGCTTTTAGCTTATTATAGGGCTCGAGAAAATGTTTGACACGATCTATATTAATACGTTGTCTACAAGAGAAGAAAAGATTAACCTTCCGGGACATGCCATAGAGAATCTTTCTAAGTGTTTGTATTGACATGTTGTCAATGAAACAATGTTAGTGCAGGTGCACATTGTTTTAACGTACATGTAATCAAAATGTTATCATTATTTGTCCCATTCATACAGAAATATTGATTACAATCGGACATTGATCGCCGAATGTAAAGGAAGCGCAAACACGCCTACAAAATTGGCCGCCACAGTGATAAGTTTCAATTAACAAAAGCAACCAGGATTTTGATGATATCACTAGATCTGGAACATCGGATCCATCACAATCAATCGTGTGTGATTTCGATTAACTTGATAGCACATATTCCAACCGCTCAGCCCAGTGATTGATCTGATTCTCTCAGAAGTCGTCCGTTGCTCGCCATCCTCGAAATCCAGACCCATTTGGTGCGAATGGGATGACGTGAAGAGCGGATAAGAATTGAATGGCACCGGTATTAGCTTAATAATTTCGATTTCCAACCATCCAACGATCTCAAACACAGACTTGGAATATCGTACCATACGCACGAAATCTGCATGTAAGGCCCCCATACACGATCATTTATCTCGTCAGACCCCCATACAGGGTCAGTTTGTTCGTCAATTAATTGATGTCAAGTAATTTGCTGTCAGTGTCCCCTATACACGATCATTTATCTCGTCAGGCCCCCATACACGATCAATTTGTTTATCAATAAATTGATGAGTCAGGAGACAAAGTTATAGAGATATAGCCCTTGGCATCCAGCTTATCGAGAAAGCGTCTCACTCACTGGGTAAAGAACTGTTAATTAACTGGTCATGACTCAAAAGATATTCGTTAAATCTGCTTATCCAGTACATGTACAAATATACAATAAATACTATAATGGTAAATGATCTTTCAATGACATATTATATGCACAAGATATAGATAAATAAGACAATTTTATGGATAGATACTTCTAGTATTTTTATTACTTCAACGTTTCAATGTGGTTCTAACACCATCATCAGGTACATAATATACTTATATATACTTATGTTACTGATTGTTTATAACCATTATAATGACAGTGTGAGAACCACATTGAAACGTTGAAGTAATAAATATACCAGAAGTATCTATCCATAAAATTGTCTTATTTATTTTTATAATGGTAAATTTAACGAAACTCTCATATCCGGTGAATCGGCTTTATATATCTGAAAATAGAACTTGAATGGTATGGTTAAAAAAGCTTAAAATGACCTCACCTTCTACTCGAACATATCAATGCATTAGGTAGCTCGTATTCAAATAGGAATTTGTATGAGACCAGTCATAATTGTCTACGTGTTTGCGACAACTGAAAGTTATCCATATTGCTCATTGAAAGGAATCCAGAATGGAATAATACTTTAAGTGGAATATAGAAATTAATAGTTTTATCAGAGTTCTATGATGTCACAATATCCTTTAGTGGAGAAGTATAGTGTTAAGGAATATGTGTATGGGGAACAACAAATGAAACAGTAAATGTTGTACCTTACACCACAATTTTCATTCCATAATGTTATAATCTAATACAGTAAATAAGTATGTTGTAAATGCTTAAAAATTACCACAAGACATGCACAACAATCCAAATACATTACACATAAGCTGTAAACAATACCCTTACCGTTGAAGTACTGTGGAACAGTACAGTAAAATAGATGCCAAAAAATATTGAAAGAAATACCAGATTCAGTGTTTTAACTTTGTTTTCATATTTTCGAAATATTTCAAATATTCTTTTTAAATCACGATTCGATTGACAAATCCGTCGGTCGAAATCAACGTTTTAAATCAACCGATTGGTAATTTCTGGAATAGCAATATCTAATGTTTAACTAGATTTACACAATGGCACCAGTTAATAGACGTCGTTGAAAAAAAAGCTGCAAGACCCCTTTACAGAGAGAAGATGGTAGCAACTAAACAGCTTAGATAAACACAACCAGATCATATATTATAAGCAATACTGAAAATGGCGTTTCCTTCACACAAATATCCCATAAGTTTTGCTCATACTAATTTATGATTAAATTACATTTTCAAACCCATTTTCAGCTCTCTTGGCGGTTGTACTTTTAGTGTAAATCAGCAGCACTGTTCAAAACGGTTAGTGGAGACTTTGAATTTGCTATAGATGGTCGACAGAAGTTCAAATTTCAAACTAACTTTAATACGTCTGCTACGCTTCATATCCAAAAATGATTGTTCTTAGAACAATAGTCTGCTGCGTTTATAGACGTGCTTTGATTATTTAAAGTGATACTACGTCTTAGAATGAACATAAAATTTAAGTTTTCGAAATGGTCCATATGAGTATATTCATCAGTTAGCTTACCTGGTGTCATTAAGTTACAACAGAATCCCTGTAAAATCTGGAAAATTGGAAAATTCATAAAACTAAGTAATTATTGAAAAATGCTTAATCTTGATATTAAGCGTTTTTCAGTAGTTAATTGGATATTAATGGATAATTAATAAGTTTTTTGGATTTATCGGATTATATAAGGATCCTGTTATGTTATTGATGACACCAGGTATATCTACTGGCTCTTATTCGCCAAGTTTAAAATTCTTAAATTTTATGTTAAGTCTAAGACGTAGTATCACTTTAACAGATGCAGTAAATGTTTCTAAATAATATGAACAAACCTTATTACTTTATCATTGTAGCACAACCGTCTAACTCGTAGTTACATAACCAAATTATTTCTAGCATCACTTGTCGAATCTATTTGTTAAATCCCTTTCTGAAGAATTCCTGTTTAGGTGATCTTTCACAAACCTTATACCCTATTAAACATACTTCTAATCTATCACAAAACACCGGTTAAAATGTCTAAAAACGCATTTCAATTGTTCACCAGGTGGAAGCTTGGTGTTGGGTAACCACACAATGTGATCATGCAGGAAACTAGCAAGGAACAACTTCACCGGTGCTAAAGAAAGGGACTACGATCCATTATCACCAGTAACAAGCACTGATCATTTAATTCGATTTCATGCACAAATTCCATCCTGAACCAAACTTTTGCTTACCTTTTAAAACCCGAAATTTATATCCCTTTACTTACAAATGTTCACCAAGTATCGACGCATTTATTACGATTGTTCTTCTGTGTCATCATTAACATCTTCATTGCAAGTTTTACTGTTTCTAAACCATATCTATACCAATCAGAACAATTTCATATCCTACCTCCATCCTAGGATTCCATATCGATCCCAGTGTTGAAGTATAACACACATAACCTAGTGCGGATACCATCAAGTACAATTATCAAAGCATGCACTAATGAAAAGATTCCACTGTAGTAGTTTTTACTTACTGAGAAAAATCAGATGTTTCATTCACATACACCATACTCTCAGTCAGTTCCTACCTTATGTATATACTATTTATATTATGTCCCTGAGTGCTCTTATACATTTGACTTCATTTTATCGCTTATTCTTGTCACTAAAATAAAAAAAACAGGAAACTTGAATTGTATATCCCATACTTCAATTTCATACGACTGAGTAAGCCCCGGACAAACCATTTCATTAAAGCTAGATCGTGAACATCCATTATATAATTTTGCCTTAAAAACATCAGTTCGATAACTTAATAAATGTATAATTAAGGCTATTACTGATAAAAAATAATATGTTATAGGTAAACTGGTCAAAACATAAAATCACTAATCTACATGGTGTGACCCGGTTCTGGGTGGACATACAATTCCACCACCCACAAAAATGAAACAAATTTACCGAAAGAACCAGTGTTAATCTGTTAATCCTTTGTTGGTCCAATAAATATTTATTGTAGATTCGTAAGCCACCTAACGAAAGATCACGTACGAGTTTTGGCTTAAGGCAACATATTTGACCTGATCAACGTTTTCTTTAAGAATTTTGTGTTTACAGGATGTTTTCTTGATATTTGCCTACGACATTCTAACAACAATTAATTATTTTTCTTCAATCAAAGCACTAAGAGACATCAATAATGTAATTGGTGTCGATGGTCTACCCGATCAAGTTATATCGATCTCTGCATTTGATCAGTGTTGAACTCCATTCTCACCATCAAGTCATGCCGTTGGTGTATATTTAGGATCAAAAATTTGTGTTTAAGAAAATGGATGTTTTACACCTAAACTATAGATTGACATATAATCTATAGTATGTATATATTTTCACTCTAAATCTACATATTCTCAAATTATGTGATTTGATGAACCACGTAACCGATTAACATTTATTTTTTTGGTGAACAAAAACAAGCAGGGACAAAGTGTCAGTAAAGCGTTCTTCTGCACAGAAAAGCGTTATAGTTTTATATTAAAGGGTCAATATTAAGAATGAGGCTTTATTGGCATGACTTTGATCACTGGTCAGAGTGGCATGATTTTTTTTCGGAATTTTTCCGTCAGACCAATTTTATCATAGAATTTGATCACCGACGGAAGCATGCAAATGACGTGTTCAAGTGACCAAGCATTTACATGTATCAACATAACTAAAAAAACGATACCTACCACCTCGTCGATAATTTGGTTCCACAAGCACCACAGATATTCATTGGAAAGTCACACTTCTTACTTTCTGGATTAAAATAAAAACCTCCCTTATCCCATCCACATTTTTCATATTTGATAAACCGTTGTCGTTTACACACATAAAAATACTGACATCCTTTCAGAGTAGAAGGGTAATTTCCGTCAATTTTCCCATGACACGATGGAGCAAGTCCACAGGGAACTGGTGTGTTGTTTACATCACCACATCGTCCTGTTAATTCGTTATAAACTTGCCCGGCTCTGCATTTTCTAATTTTGATCATGAAACGCTTTCTGCAAGTAAATGATGCAACGCAATTATTACCAAGATCGGCATATACACCATCTGTTTTATACTGACAAGGATTAGGTTGGTTACCACACGGTTTAGGAGATGATGCTGATGTTTCGCACCGCTCAGTGTAAGGATTGTATGAGCCGAATGGACATTTGAGATAACCCAAAAGCAGATTGTTAATGCAGTGCATGTATAGAGGGCATCGTCCATAAGGATCCGCGTAATAGCCGTCAGGTAAGTTTTCGCATATTCGATTCGTCAGATTGCCACAGGGAGGTTCTACATCTTCAGACGTACAGCGTGCTTGAGCAGGACTGTAGAGTTTATCACCTGCACACTTTTTATATTGTAAGAACTTGGATTGTGAGCATTCAAAATATATATCGCATCTTCCACTTTCATCAGGGTAATACCCGTCTATGCGACCATCGCACACTGGTCGCAATCCTCCAAAATGTTTTGGAACATTCTTAAGATGTTCGCATTGAAACATTTCCGGTGAGAAAATTGGCCGCGGATCACGACAGCGAAGTTGTTGAACATTCCGCTCTTCCCTGCACACCATGTATTCAGGTGTCCATTCTTTTCCTGGAAAAGCATGAAACCCATCTTTCTTTCCTTCGCAGTTCCCGTACCGGATGTGACATGGTCTGCAATGGGCTGTTCTACAAGTGTTTTCTCTGTATTCACCTAGTGTAAAAATCATTTATTATTTTGAAACACTAGCAAACTTTAAGATATTCTGCTCCAGTTTAAGATAAGTATGATTATCATTACAGTCAGGCGGTTCAAAAAACAAAAAATTGAAAAATTGAGTATAGTTACTCTCAGACAAAACAAAGAGCTCAAGGAATAAGTTTAGAATGTGACATGAAAGGTAATCAGCACAGAATGTAAATTATTTCAGCAGCTTTGTGGTTTTATACTACTAAAGGTAGAGGAAGGTTTGATCTACGGAAGACATACAACAAAAGTTCACACGAAGATTTGATAAATTTGGCAAACATCTATCTAACATTCATCTACAAGATAATATTTACTACTGATAAGTACTTACATGGGTTCTTAAAAACTTTTCTGTAGCCACAATCCACCAAATCATAATCCATACATTGTCTCTCAGTGATGGAGAAAACTTGCGGATAAACACATTCCTGGGTCAGTGGTTCTGTGTACCTCCATTCAGCTAAACTGGTAGGAAGTGTGCAATTATAATATATTTGACACTTCTCGGCATGAGCTATCAGAGTCTCAGTTCCTTGGAAAGAGCAGGGATGATTTGGAAAAGCACCTGAAAGTACCACGATAATGTTTAATCTTATTGTGATTTAAACAATTTTTCCAAGACAGAAGACTGGATCAACGCGCTTCACTAAAGTGATACTACGTCTTAGAATTAACATAAAATTTCAGAATTTTAAACTTGACGAATAAGAGCCAGTAGATATACCCCCGATATAATCCGGTAAGTCCCAAAAACTTAGTAATTATCCATGCAATTAACTGTTGAAAAACGCTTAATATCAAGATTAAGCGTTTTTCAATAATTACTTAGTTTTATGAATTTTCCAGATTTTACACGGATTCTGTTGTAAAGCTAACTGATGAATATATACTCATATTGACCATTTCGAGAACTTAAATTTTTTGTTTATTCTAATACGTAGTATCACTTTAAGGCAGAATTTTATGCCCACTTCAGCATCGTTATATGTTCATTCATAATAAGCTGTGTAATCAACAGTAATTTCAACTGTGTCTTAGGCACTTTTATATCAAATGAAGGACATCGATGACTTATGAGGCCATATGAACCCTCAATGCACGGTGTTGTTTTCTTTTTAGTTTTGACTGGTAAAGATTGGTATTTGGATTGGAGGGGAACATATGGCCGCATGTGATACTCGGATACTCGGTTTACCGATCTGATATAAGTTGGCAATTCTTAATTCTTCAAGTTCTTACAAAAGAGAATCTACGACCAAGTTACCTAGTATGTTAAAACCAAAATAGCACCCATCCTTTTACTGGGGACCAAGTATTGGAGATATTTTCCGAAACAATTGCTTGTGACGGCCATAATAAACAGTTTGGTGGTAAGAATTAAGAATAAACATTGTTTGGTACAATGTCAATTGGTTGTAACACGGTCAAATAAAATATCAAACCAAGAAAATATTTTATTTGTGTGAGACATCTTATACACTAAATTCCAATCACGGTATAGCGAGACTAATAGCGGTTTCTACAAAACTGGAAGCAACTTTTATCTGGCTTCATGTAACTTATAGCGTATAAGACCGGTTTTTATTAAAGGGGCCGTATGTAAAATTTTCATAATCAAATAAGTCGTAAATTATCTGAAAATATTCTTTAAAACAATATTAAGACATCTGTGTAACTACTTGATAAGAGTGAATTTGTTTTAAAAGGGTTAATTTAGAATGGTTTGTACTAATTAAGCACAAACAAGTTTATATGTTGGGCCTCATAAAGACTCAATATTTTAGTTGGAACTTTTTGAATACTTATGAGACATATTATATATCATGTATTTAAAATAAGGCGTTTATTGTGCAGTAGTTTTTAACGCTTACCAAAAAGCATAACGAAAATAAAAAGTTTGCATAACCCTTTTATTAGTTTTAAATAATTTTGGCTTTAAAACATTTACTGCGGGATATATTTAATTAAAGCTTTCAGATAACTGATGGGGCTCGTTTCTCTAGATTTTGGTGTTTAGTTTTCATCAATTTGAGCTACGAATGCCCCTTCAAGGAGCGTCTGACAGAACTCGCGAGCAAGCGGATTTATGAGGCTGCTAGTATCTGGTAGTGCATGGAAGAGTATGATCAAACACTGAAGTTTGTCAACTTCAGAGCATCGAATGAGGGACCTTAAAATGGTCGACGATCGGCTTCAAGTTCATCTGAAATTTAGTTCGTATTATTTCCTCCCTTGTACTGAAACAATTTCTCATTAAATCACAATTCAATATTAGCTTGGATAAACTTTGTTTCTGAAATAATACAGTTCCTTCCATAATTTTCTCCAAAAAACCTTTTCTTAAATTGTAATGATAAGACATTATTTAAAGTATAAGGTGATGACCCTCCACTAATTCTGTCTGAGGTTAGTTCTTTCGGTCTTTGTTTCTGATTGCAATTTAGGTGAAGATTTGTTGATAGATCTTATTTTGTTGTCACTCGTGGATAAGAAAACAATTTATTACATGTATCACAATGTTAGAAAAGGTTTACTTACGTTTAATATTCTCTACTCGCTCTATGTCTTGTTGGGTCCGTTTTGGAGGTCGGATTCTGGTTGGTACACGTGGTAAAGATAATGCTGTAGTTTTCAATGGATGTACTGCTGTGGAGTGGGTAGTATGAGCTGGAAATATTTCATCTCTCGATTTCTCAATATCTGTTTGTACGTGTACTTCCAAGTCGAGAGGTTGCGTTACGTTTCTCTCAGGTGCTGCTCGTCTGGTCATGGGAGTTGACTTCGGCTTTGCCCGCGTACAGTCATCCCATCTGGACCATTTGGGCACACAATTTCGCCCCATTACAGACCATACGTGAGTTTCTTGGCAGGATGGCATCCTTATCGGCTGTCCTCCAACACAGATTATATATCTCCGACAAGAATGAGGTGCGCGTATCCATTGCAAACCTAGTGAACTACGACAAGGATTTGTTAAAGAGTGAATGCCAGTAATGTGCATAAGTTCGACTTGTATTAAAAGTATCCACAGAATACAGATAAAGAGACTCGATACTCCAAATCGCGCCATGTTGTTTTCCCTACAGTAGTCTGTCTAGTGTATAGTGGTGCTTTCTGGTCGAGGTCCCTTCTAGAATGAACTAGTAATCACGTGGTATTGCGATTTTGATAGTTGATTCAACAGATTTCGTTTTATCGAACTTTGAAACGTGGTGCCCGCAGATGAAATTGCCATCATCAAGTTCGGAGGACGGAAAAGTTGATAGCGTGTGATTTTGTTAACTGTGTTTGCTTGTCTGTTGATTACAAATTTGAAGAAGGACAAGGCAGAGTGTATACTGACGGTAGGGTGATATTTAAAGAATCGGCTATTTTAATTACACGGCACACAAGTCGAGGAATATTTGATATTACTAAAACACGTAAGATTATTTAGAAAAGTTATGGAATACAATATTCGTTCTGTTTATATGTATTTAATGAAAAATTTGTGTCTTGGTCAGTTTGACTTTGTCTTTCATTTTTAATCTTTTAACAATATTTTGACTATTCTTATATCAATATTATATTATCCTTATTGATATGTTCATGATAAGTTATGTGATTTCAGTCTCCATTGCCAATAGTCTCTAGGTATGAAAAAGATTTTGATGTACTAATTTATGAGAACATAAATATGACCAGTCGTATAAAAAAATTGTCCTAGTCACAAAGTAAGGATGCCAAGTTAAAGGTTACCAAAAAAAATAAGTCGATTTCATCACTGTTAAAATAATATCATTTGATATCCTTTGAAGAAATTGCTGAAATTTAGGAATCAACCATCTTCTGATGAAAAAGTCTTGAAGCTATGGAGTATCTATTTGCATACAAGTGACCGAAACTAACATTATTGAATCCAAGATGAAGTAATATTACCAATTACGATCTTGTCTTTCTGATTCTAATATTAATATCATCTATATATTCAAATTACCCCAACTTAAAAACAACAGTTGTTCTTGAACTGTATATTTTTCAATGAGAAAACATTCCACATTCCTTTTTAAAAAAGCATCTGTGTTGTTCAACTATTTAAAAAAAGTAAAATTTCTATAAAAGTGTGGCTGAATATGTTTTGGATAAAACTTTTTGTTGACATGATTTTGTTGATCAGACTTGATGACTTCGCCCAAATTATACAATAAATATTAGAGATAAAACACATTGTTATACTTTTGATACGCTTTGGGTCTCTTTGAAATAGATGGTCTAATATTTATAAATGAACGTGGTTAAATTTGTCATATGAAGAACAAGTTAAAATATTACTTATCTTGTAAAAAAGAACTGGTTAAAAGTACAAATCGATATAAAACGTACAATATAGTAACTGATAATAATGTTATGTTCTTGAAAAATATAAAGAGGAAAACATTTGCTCAAAATGTAACTTGTTCAAAAAAGCATTTTAAGCATTGATTGAAAAGTTGATAAAACGATGACAAGGTAAACTGGTACATGGTGATATATTTCTTATGTTCGCATTAGCAAAAATACTTTGACAAACAACCAACAACATTGTATCGATTAGACGGTTTCTTGCCCAATTCGGGTACACTATTATTGGGCGTTATTTTTTTCTCTTTCAAATTTCGCAAGTAACTATATAGTTTATTATTAAAAGATAATCAATAGCACCAGAATGACTCCACCAATATTTACCACAGTTTTCAAAAAATTTTGAAAGTTTATATGCATGATATACACAAATCTTGACTTGAACTGTTAAAATCGAGTAACAATCGATAGCGCTCAAATAGCCGTATTTTCTTTTATTTAAAACTTCCGTGTCTTTAAAGAAATATACTTTCACAACTCGTTTGTCTGAAAATAAAATAATTTAAGAGAAAATCATGAATTTGATGTGAATGCGCTTCTATACAGTCGCCGAAAAAGGCACACAAGCAAGTGTTTATGTTTAAGATTGAGACTACGTCTCTTTTTCCTGTTTCAACTGTGTTGATTATAGCCCCGCCACATCGACTGTGACTATTTGCGATCTTACAGCGACTGGAACGTGGTCGCGATCAAACGTGAGAAAAACTAGAAGCACAGTCCTCCAAAAACTACTACAGACGACTTTATACTCGGCGAATAGTGGCGACAATTGGGCGATGCCATTCCAATTTTCAATCAGACGCCTGTGGTTCTAGCAATTTTACTAAAACTAAGTGTTTTATGACGTCACCCCCACAAAGGTCTTATGTGACACACGCAAATTATGCGGGGGTAGAATCATAAAACACTAAGTTTTAGTGTCCCCGATACGAATAAAAAAATTAGAAAACCTCTTTACAATCCCTTTAACACGCTCTATACCAATTTTCCGTCGCAACTGCAGTGGAGTAAGAAAGCCTTTTCGGTGTGATAGGGATAACCTTCCTCTTTATGTCTTATGTTTATTTTGACTATACCACTTTGTTTCTGAGAACAATAATTCTACTATACCACTTGTGTGTCTAAGAACGACAATTTCCACTATACCATTTGTGCGTCTAAGAACGACTAAGAGCAATGTCCACTATAACATTTGTGTTGCTTAGAACAATCTTACACTTTTTTCCCCTATTACTTGTGTTTCAAGGGACTATTTGAAGTCTTTTTTCCCCTATTACTTGTGTTTCAAGGGACTATTTGAAGTCTTTTTTCCCCTATTACTTGTGTTTCAAGGGACTATTTGAAGTCTTTTTCCCCTATTACTTGTGTTTCAAGGGACTATTTGAAGTCTTTTTTCCCCTATTACTTGTGTTTCAAGGGACTATTTGAAGTCTTTTTTCCCCTATTACTTGTGTTTCAAGGGACTATTTGAAGTCTTTTTCCCCTATTACTTGTGTTTCAAGGGACTATTTGAAGTCTTTTTTCCCCTATTTGTTTCTCCTTATTTCCACCATTTCATTTTATTAATTGGGACATCCATACGCAAATTTCCCACATCATAAAATATATTTCATTGCTAAGGACAATATCAAGTCTTATGCTTCATAATGCCCAAAAAATGATAGACTTTCAAACTACACGATGTGGAGGCAAAAATAAGTCTTTCATTACATTAAGATATACTTTTATTAAAAAAGAAATGAGAGGTAAAAATAGTTGATAATATAATATTATTTTAGTAGGGTACAACGTTGCTGGCCAGTAAATTGAGTAGTGCGATTGTTTGTATTGCTCTTCATTGTGCACTAAACACACATGCATAGTAAAAGTTCAGCGTTAGAAACAGGTACTCATCAGAAAGATATTAAGGGTTGAGTCACAACATCTTTATCAAAGGCAGTATAATATCTTCTAACTAGTACAGCCAATAAATAATATGCAAACTAAATAACTTCAGTGAAGTGCTCCTTTTTGACAATATTTTAAGCTATCGATACATGTTTCATAAAAATCCTCATTTTGATATTTGGTTCCAATATACCAAATCATGCCTGCCTTGTGTATCTATTTTAACCTCTCTAAGAATTCATTTGAAAAACATAATATTTATAATTTGAATTTTGTACCAAATACAATTAACTTTACTACACGACATGTACATTCTTAAATTATTGTACACTTTTAATTGTGGATTTACATTTGAGTAAACGTTTCTCGTAGGCTCATAATATACAAATTATTAGCTTTAAGAATGATATAATTGATAGGACTTAATTCCAAAGAAATAGATCAATTACACCAGGGGCCTTAATCTCAAAAACTGAACTCAAATACAAACTAGATTTTAAGAAATAGAGGAATCTGAATGAATAATTAAATAATGTTAAAGACGTGATTAATCAGACATCAATATAATAAAAACTGAATGGACGTGATGAAAAGTTAAAAAGTGGCTTATGTTACTTTATGAAAATGATTAGTAAAGATTTTATTAATCACAATCTCGTTATAAATGTAAACAAAGTTATAGGAAGCTCTTGAAAGAGTTTAAATATCAAACTTAGTTTTCAAGACCTTTTTAGGAGTATAAAAACACATACATAATTAGACAAAATATAAATATGCTTTAACAATATGAATAACATTCTTTGGATTAATAATAAACTAATTGGCAAGAGCAGTGCTACAAAAAAAAACCAAGTAGGCTTTCATTGTTGATTCTCTAGTAGGAAATTTTGTTCCTTGTTTGTGTCACCATGTAAGCGACATGTTAATCACCAAGAAATGGTTTAATTTCCGTGAATAGCTCAAACCAAGAATTGATTGCAGTTAAAACATTGTTATATTTAGTCCAGACTTTCTAATAAATCATTTGAGTTCAATAAAATCTTTCTCCGTTACTAAAACTAGTGGTCAAGAGCGATTCAATTTACTGCAAATAGTCATCAGACTAACAGCTTTATAGACTGAGGAACTGTTCCATTGAACAACAAAAAATTGAAATGAGACAATCCATATTACATAAATATTTTTTCTGTCACTGGTAAAAAAATAAGATGATTTCTGATAAATATTCAACGAACAGTACCTTGCTTCATCTTTCTATACAGACAGGAAACAGTTCCTTGCTTCATCTTTCTATACAGATAGGACAAGATATAATTGTACAATTAAATATGATTATAAAATACCTATTACCACTAACGTCTTTTCTTTTCTTTATTATTATTAGTTTTATCTTGATTGATATAGGCTTGGTAATAGAAGTTAGCAAAGAGTATAGCTATAACAATGGTGGTAAATAGGCAATGTAACATAACAGGTAATAGGAATCCACAATTTGGTATGAAACAATTAGCTCCAGTATGGATTATAATGATAGCAAACTGAAACTGAAAAAAAAACATCATGATCAATTACAAGCATATTTTGGGGAGTCAACATGACTTATGATCTTTATTTGGTTCACCTGTAACAGTTTCACGTTCAAACTAATGCAATGGACAAAGCACACTTAAATGCCTAGCCTAAACGTTCGTTACAAGACCAAATTCAAAACACGACATTCATAATCCAATAATAGTAGGGTAACACTAGTGGGTTATGTCCCTTCAATGGTTTTTGGCGCGACTATGATGTAAGTAAAGATATAATTGCGATTATTTTGTCAATTATAATTTTGGCTTTGAGTAAAATGACAAAATATTCAAAATTCTTACCATTTGTATTTTAGTGAGGTATTTTTTCCACCATAGATAAGGTTGCATTTGTGGTCCCAGGGCTGATAAACAATAATACCCGTACATCAATATATGAACAAAACTGTTTATTAATGGTATTATGTACGCTGAAAAAACAATAACATTTTATTTGTCTTACCCATTGTAAAGAAGTGGTTATTACATCATTTTTATTGGCCGCATGACCAAAGCTAAATGTTGTCAATAACAATAATATCGTCAGATTGCAGAAAGTGGAGGTTGATATCCCGAATATACTTTTGACTATACTTACTGCTATAAATTACAAGAAATCTAACAACAAAATACCAACTAAACGCCATAATGACATGATGATATACATGTAATATAGTAATCTGGTTATTCTTTTTTCTAAGTACAAAAAATATCTGAAAATAAATTGATGTTGACATTTAATATGATGAAAACACTGGGCATGCTAGTGCGTCCAGGATATATTATTTTTACATGATATTTCTATTCAGACTAATTATTGATACTGCATTATTATATTATGCATTCCCGTCTACGCTTCAGAAAATACATGCATGTCACACCAGCTGTATAAGCTACAGAACCTGAAGTAACAAGAACTGTGCTTTCTACAATAGTAGTTTTAGGTACCTGGTCTATAATAAATGTCACATTTAAATATTGATGAACTCATTATAACAAAACATATTTTAATATGAAGTACAGATATATTTATAAGAATTAGTTTAAGCTCACCGTATCTAGTAATTCTATTAATTTGGCTATGAAATACAACCAGTGACACCTTGCAACCTGAAAAAAATCATAACCACCAATAAAACTTTGTTCTGAATAGTGAGGAAAACATGAATATACACTCTGTTGTATAACACTCTGAAAAATGGGTTCCTGATAGACCTTGTTGCGACACCCAAGGCCGTACGTTACATAAGGTCCCGGTATTAACTTGGTGAAAAGTTCAAAAGAAATGACGTACAGGGAAATAATAAAGTAGTGTCCAAAAGAAACGATACCAACTTATTTTCAAAATTGTTTTTTACTTAGTGAATTGTCTAATATGAAAACATGCCAATTCGTATTACACATCCCAAACACAGCATAGTCGATAAAAATACCGGGAACACGTGATCACTTCCGGGAAAAAACGTAAATTTCGTGAAAGTGACATTTCCCTCTCTATGCACGTGCATAAAAACTGTATAAAACGGCTGATCAGACACGTTGATATCACAGCAACAAAAAGACTACAAGATATGCCACGTTTGACAGCCATCGAGAGAGAGAGAGCCGTTGGAATGGTCCAACAAGGACCGACACACGTCGACGTTTGCCAGAAGATTGGGCTGCGCGCGCATCACTATCACCAGGTTGATGCAGCGGTTACGTCAGACAGGTCAGACGTCAGACAGGCCCAGGAGTGGAAGACCACGAGTAACCACGCCCCGTGAAGATCGTTACATCCGGGTATTACACCTGAGGAACCGCACCGTAACAGCGACGTCCACGGCGGCTACAGCACTGGGACACAGGATCAGTCGACAGACCGTCTACAGGAGACTACGGCAGTATGGTATCCGGCCACGTCATCCCTACCGCGGACCGCTCCTGACGCCTTGACACCGGAACAACAGACTGATCTGGGCCAGGCGAGTTCGACGTTGGCAACGGCGGGACTGGGCACATGTTATGTTCTCTGATGAGAGCAGATTCCTCATCTTCAAAAACGATGGACGGCAGCTTGTATACCGACGATTTGGTGAACGTTTGGCGCCTAACTGTATCCAACAGGTCCGGCCGTTTGGAGGTGGAGGGTTAATGGTTTGGGGTGGCATATGTGGTGACGTCAAAACGAGGCTTGTCGTAATTCGTGGAAACCTGAATGCACAGCGTTATATTGATGACATCCTACGGCCTGTTGTGGTGCCCTTTATTCAGCAACAGCCTCGTGGACTCTTTTTCCAACATGACAATGCAAGGCCACACACAGCAAGATTGACACAGAACTTCCTTGCCAACGCCAACGTACAGGTTTTGCCATGGCCCGCATGTTCACCGGACATGAATCCCATCAAGCACTTATGGGACCACCTCGATCGGCAAATCCGACGTCGCCGTGTGCCTCCAGTCAACGTCCAAGACTTGGAACGATGTCTCCTCGAGGAATGGCAACGCATCACTCCCAACGTCATCAGACGTTTGACGGCATCAGTCCGTAGGCGTGTTCTGGCAAGTAATGATGCTCACGGTGGACATACCCGCTACTGACTTGACTTTGTGACGTGTGGTGTGACATTTCCCGTTGTTTCTGTGATCAGTGCTCTAACGAAATGTTCTTTTTTCGACCCCACCCATCTTTAAAGGCTTGTCATATTGGTTGTACAGATTTTATTGAAATGAAATTTTTGTACAGATGTTGTGAAAGGATTTCTCAAAAGCATAACACCAATCCTAAACTTCTGCATTGTTTAGTTTTTCTTTTATGTCGTTGCAAACAGGTGGTATCGTTTCTTTTGGACACTAGTTTAGTATGAAGAAATATTGTGTAATAGATTGTATAAAAAGTATGGGTAAATTTTGTTATTTTTTGTCAAAAAGGGTTATTTTGAAGAGAATGCCATTAGTATATATTTAACACCATCACTTACTAGTCAAAGTCAATAACACAATTAGATTTGTGGACTAAAGTTTTAACATAAAACATCTGCGCCCGCTTTGTTAAGAGTAAGCTGTCGCCTAACTCTTACAGAATTCCCTCAGATGGTTTTTTAAGCTAAAGTGGGAAATTGTACACAGGCTGTCAATGTTTCAAATTATCATTATAACATGTCACAGTATAGAAAACTATTAACCATATGTTACTATGGATATCACAAAATTTAATTTGTTTGTGATCATGACAATCTAATTCATTTATTGATTTTTGTCATAAGTCATAAGTCAAATACATGAAATCGAGTGTTTCCCGTTTTATTCAAAACAGCTTAATTATTAATTTTCCCTGAATAGGTATAAATAATGATCCCATTTACTCTGAAATAAACTAATATAAAGCAAAAGATATTCTCTTTCATAATAACATCAAATATGAGATTCAGTTATAGTTCAAATGTGGTCTGTCACATTACCTGTTAGATAAAATGCTATTTTCATTTATTTTTAAAAATAGTCCTATCCTCCTTCAAACTAACATTGTCGCTTTGTAATAACTGTATTTGAAACTAACATTCTTGTTTAATAAAGCTACATCTCAAACAATCATTGCTGTTTAATAAAGCTGTATCTCAAACAATCATTGCTGTTTAATAAAGCTGTATCTCAAACAATCATTGCTGTTTAATAAAGCTACATCTCAAACAATCATTGCTGTTTAATATAGCTACATCTCAAACAATCATTGCTGTTTAATATAGCTACATCTCAAACAATCATTGCTGTTTAATAAAGCTGTATCTCAAACAATCATTGCTGTTTAATAAAGCTACATCTCAAACAATCATTGCTGTTTAATATAGCTACATCTCAAACAATCATTGCTGTTTAATAAAGCTGTATCTCAAACAATCATTGCTGTTTAATAAAGCTGTATCTCAAACAATCATTGCTGTTTAATANAGCTACATCTCAAACAATCATTGCTGTTTAATAAAGCTGTATCTCAAACAATCATTGCTGTTTAATAAAGCTGTATCTCAAACAATCATTGCTGTTTAATAAAGCTACATCTCAAACAATCATTGCTGTTTAATAAAGCTGTATCTCAAACAATCATTGCTGTTTAATAAAGCTGTATCTCAAACAATCATTGCTGTTTAATAAAGCTACATCTCAAACAATCATTGCTGTTTAATATAGCTACATCTCAAACAATCATTGCTGTTTAATAAAGCTGTATCTCAAACAATCATTGCTGTTTAATAAAGCTACATCTCAAACAATCATTGCTGTTTAATATAGCTACATCTCAAACAATCATTGCTGTTTAATAAAGCTGTATCTCAAACAATCATTGCTGTTTAATAAAGCTGTATCGCAAACTAACATTGCTGTTTGATAAAGCTGCATCTCAAACAATCATTGCTGTTTAATATAGCTACATCTCAAACAATCATTGCTGTTTAATATAGCTACATCTCAAACTAACATTGTTGTTTGATAAAGCTGCATCTCAAACAATCATTGCTGTTTAATATAGCTACATCTCAAACAATCATTGCTGTTTAATATAGCTACATCTCAAACAATCATTGCTGTTTAATATAGCTACATCTCAAACAATCATTGCTGTTTAATATAGCTACATCTCAAACAATCATTGCTGTTTAATATAGCTACATCTCAAACAATCATTGCTGTTTAATAAAGCTGTATCTCAAACTCACATTGTTGTTTGATAAAGCTGCATCTCAAACTAACATTGCTGTTTAATATAGCTGAATCTCAAACAATCATTGCTGTTTAATATAGCTACATCTCACACAATCATTGCTGTTTAATATAGCTACATCTCAAACAATCATTGCTGTTTAATATAGCTACATCTCAAACAATCATTGCTGTTTAATATAGCTACATCTCAAACAATCATTGCTGTTTAATAAAGCTGTATCTCAAACTAACATTGTTGTTTGATAAAGCTGCATCTCAAACTAACTTTGCTGTTTAATATAGCTACATCTCAAACAATCATTGCTGTTTAATATAGCTACATCTCAAACAATCATTGCTGTTTAATATAGCTACATCTCAAACAATCATTGCTGTTTGATAAAGCTGTAACTCAAACGCTAACATCGAAGAGTGATATTTCGAAATAACATTTTGTAAATTGTTGGTTGATAAAATAGTATTTCAATTTATAATAGCACACATATTCATGAACAATTAATAATTTACAAGTTAGCATCATTCTATCTTCTAATCTTCTACGCTAAGCTTGATTAGATATCTTCCGATATGACATTGTAAGATTTCAGGCATGTAGGGTAAAGATCATTATACTTACTCGTTTTATATATTCATCGTCAGAATAATCTATTTTTTCATAGGACTGACACAGTAACTTAATATTTGTATGCGACACTGATACTAATAACTGAAATAATATACAAAAGCATGAAATTAACAATTATGGTTGAACTTTCAGTATTAACTATTATCAATAGGTTTTTCAAAATGACCCTATAATCCACAAAAGTCAAAAGTCAAACCATATCTTGTAGCTCACAACAAATAAGATTCATCGAAACATTAGCAAAGGAAATGCCAAATTTGATAGGTTTATGATCGATAATTGGTCAAATTAAACAGTAAGTGGGGAAAGTTACAAAATGAATTACTAGTTTAGATTTACAAAATTGTCGTTTCGCTGGCTCAAAGTTACATTGCAGAATCTGACAATCAATGAGATCTCAAATTTTCTTTTAAAAAAATTCTATTTGATCCCAGTGATAAGATTTGATACTGGACGTTTTGTATCAGCGATTTTATATCTATAATTTCCTAATGAAAACCAAACTTCCACATTAGAAAGTAATCAACAATTCAAACGAGCTGAATGTGAAATAGATTAAAAATCCATTAGGTTATCAAACATGAATGAACTGATTTTTAAACTACTGTTTATTAAATGGTGTGTGAATAAAAAATCAGATTTCCTTCAAAATAGCAATCATATCCAAATCAAAATTGTCAACTAGGCGTCATTATACATTTGATCTGACTGAAAGATATTGTATGGAGGTTCTTTTCTCTGTTATCTCTTATCGTAAAATTGTATTGGGTCAGAATCCAAAATCGTATTTCAGAATTGCATACTGGACATAAATCTATAATAGCACATATGTTTATAATGCATTTTTATCTACGTGTAGTTTTATCATGCTTTCAAGAGCACAGCTTTACCACTCTGGCATGTATTAAGGGATTCACCTTTAAAGCTAAGAATATGATATAAATTGAATAACTCACCTCAATAAATACATAGGTAGAAAATATAACTTGAAATATATTATATGCCAATAGAACATATTTTAAATTAAACGGTTTCCTATTTTCCATATATTTTGGACCATAATATACAATAAATAAATAAGTAACTAATATTGAGATAGTGGGATATGCAGACTCCATCAAACCCCATCCTATAACTTGTTTATCTAAAAGACAAAAACAAATGTCAATAAGCAAGATCACATTTAATTGAGGGTAGGCTTATTGGAACATAAACATCAACGACACTTTTTTCGCAAGTGCCATACTAAACGTTCATATTGTTTCTTTATCTGCCATTTAGAGTTACCTACATGACCAACGAGACCAAGTACGCTGGAGGTTTATTTGCACAACAGACAAGCACCATTTCTACCTTCATCCCCAGTTATATTGATTGACCTGTACCTTAGCCGTCATAATTTAGATTTTCTTTGTCTGTATGGTGTGGAAAAACTAAATAACTAATTCTTACCTGTTTCTTCTATATAACTAGTCTGTAATTTGTTTACATAATCCATAATTTCCGTCTGAAACACAAAAAAATACAATACTCAATGCGAGTTATGCAATTATCTACAATTATCACAGGAATACCTGGAAACTTAAAAGGACACCTTAAGGTTTCACGAAATCTACAAAAAATTGATGATTTAAGAGCGCAATTATAGTAAATGGTATTCTTTGATCAAATCCACCTCTTAATCTATTTAACCTTGCTGACTCTTAGAAGCCTTTGGTAGTTATTATTGACGGTTATTTAATCTTTCTGACTCTCACAAGCCTTCTAGTTATTAGTGGCGGTAAGTTAACCTTGCTGACTCTACGAGCATTGACGGTTTTTTAACTTTACTAATTCTTACGAGCCTCTGATAAATATTAGTGACAATAATTTAACCCTGCTGAATCTTGCGAGCCTGTGATAAATACTATTGACAGTTATTTAACCTTTTAAAACCCCACTACAGTCGAAACATAAATCAACAATGTCTTACAAAGACACCATGGCCGTAACTAAGATCTTTTTTCTTTTAAGTCAGTTATGTCTGTCATTGCAACGCCTTCAATAGACTTTACACGGCAACCACCTGAACTGAGACATAAAAAAATCAATATATTTAGCAGGTATCAGATTTATATTTCTAATTTATAAACAAAATTAATTGTTTGTTAAATTCTGCATGAAGAATTTGCCATATTTGCCTTGATGTAGTTACTGCCCTGGACATGTAAATTTCGAATTTGATCTCTCCGTTTGACGGCATATAAAATATTTATTTTCCTTTTTTGTCAAGAAAAGGTTTCTGAATATATATTACATATCGCATTTTTTTTAAATGGAACGAGTAACCCACAGATATGACGATTATAAAATAATTTACTATATATTTTAATCTATAGGTCTTATCAGACGCTACTTCGGTTTAAATTAGAAACATACGCCGCGTTAACACAGCCTTTAAAAATTGGCGCGCTTGAAGAGAACCGTACAGTACGGACTCTGTCGAGATAATTTGTGACTTTCTAAACGCGAATATATTGATGTTGCATATTCATGAGGCGAGGCTTATTGTGTTAAAGAATAACGACGAATACTATTATTCGGGTATGGTTTTATCTACACATTATAAACTTTTCACTTATAGTTATATTCATGTAAATTGAATGTCAGGAGAAACATCACATGTTTGGGTTTCAATCTCATGTTTTCTCATGGTCAGATCTCATCGATGATGTGTACCTATTATTATTTCTGAAAGTGAGTACTTGTGAAAATAAAACACATTTTTAAGTATATGTATCTTTCATTGAAGATCATAGAAACGACGTGAGTGGTGGATGTACAAGCACGCATTAAAATGACAGACAATAACATCAGTGCCAAGAGACGACACACATCCACGAAATTTGGCAAGTACATTTTGTATTTTGTTTGTTACCGTATTGTAGGGTTTTTTTTCTGATAGACAATGAAAACATCAACCCAACCAAATCTGTGAAAGCAAGTCAATGTGATCCACTAAGTATCGTTGAATACAAAATGCAAAAATAAAGTTAACATTTTTATTTCAAGACTAAAATTCTGAAGTTTCAATCTGGAACTAAATCGACATTCCAAGTAAACAAGAATGAAATCCAACCAACATTATTAATCAACATAGTGGTCCTGACAACTGTTAAATTATCATAAAATATCGACATAGCCTAATTGACTACACTATAATTCATAAGGTAGGCCTGGTTGGTAGATGACAAGTTAACGTCCAGGTGATGATGAAATTATAGATGGTGCTCCAGGACTGGACGAAAATAAATTCTGTGTTCTATTCATGTTGATGATTTAGTGATGGATAACATATTTCTAAATTTGGTATTTAGAATTGACTAGTGGTGTCATGACATTTGCTCTTAGACAAGTGCTCTTTTATTAAAAATATCTTGCTGATTACCAACTTTTTTTTTGGAAAATTTCGAGACGTGTTTGACACAGCAGGAAATGAAAAACCACGAGTGGATAGTTGTTTTCAGATTTTATATGTTTTACGGTATATCACACTGTGTAAATCTGTGAATCAAATGTTGTTTAAAAAAGAATAGAGGATAATATGGGGTATATTTTGACAAATGACAGCATAGATCTAGCAACAATTAGGAATGAATTATAGCTAACAAAGCAAACATGTTAGCTATATATATATATACGTTCATGTACTTTCTCTTTATTCAATACTTTATCAAATCATATCTTCTTATTTTCATTTCCGCTATATATACTAAAATTAGATTTGCTGCTGAAATACCAGATACAAGATTCAAAAGTCAATAGTCAACGTGTACTTGATCTTTTTGACATGGTCGCATTGTCCGAAACGTTCAGTTATGAAATATTAAAATGTGTACTTATTGCATCCATTTATACTTGAAGTTTAGTTTAAAATATATTGAAAGGAGGAACTGTTCACCACTTGGTATATATACCACAAAAAAACCATCAGGCTATGTCGATTATATATAACTTGAACAATGTTCCTGTCTATAACCTACAAATTAAGAGAGACTCGATCAATATAAACGTTGCCGTGTAATTTAATTTATAGCCACTGAAGTTAAAATGATATCAACATCATTTCACGCTATAAATGTCGACTGGGAATTATATCGGTGGGTTCGTTTTGCCGCACTGACCAACTTGTCGCGTCGTGCCCAACTACGCAAAAACGACTTGTAATACGAAACTAAAGTTTTCTGATAAAATCCGGAATGGCCATTTGTTTCACATGAAACGAAATATTTTAATCTGTTGACCCGCATCGATTTTCTTTATTATTTATAATTTGGACCTGTTAGGCAAATCAACACTATAGTTTTATGGTAAAATCTGGAATAAAATAAATACCAAGTACAAACGATCAGAACCGTAATACAAAATACATAAATCCATAAAACGAAACAAGACAAGTTCAATAAAAAAAATTGGTCCTAACTTGCAAGAGTTATGTCCCTCTATTGCGTGCCTATAGCGTCACCCACGGTCTAGAAAAAAAATGGCAACTGAAATGTCTGAAAGTGAAAATCTTCTGAATAGTAAATCAGAAATATCAAGCGAAGAGAAGTTTAAAAGTCTCGTATTAGATGTGCACTATGATTCGGCAGTGGCTCAACATCCACTGGTTCAAGATAAGTCCCAGAATGTCCTGGTGGACAAGGTAGATGCTGGGGTTGAAGTACCGTCGGCAGTTGGAGACAAAAATCGACTAACCTGTGATTGTTTAGAAAAAATGACAGTGCAGACATCGGATGGATCCACAGGAAAATAAATATTTTGAAAACCCAGTATTATCAACATAACAGCGAAAAGTATGCCTCTGTAAAAGGGCACAGTACGGAAGTCTTGAAACTGTTTCATAGGAAAGCTGTTCTAAACCTTGTCCAGCAGGACATTCTGGGACTTATCTCAAGGCAATGACTTTGATCTTGAAGCGAGGTCATTGGTGGTGATTACTCAGCAGAATTTAGTTCAGCTTAGTTCAGATTATCTAATTGACGATAAGCGATTAAGATGTACATGCATTTCTTATTTGCTTATATATATATAATCTTTTATTTCCTCCAAATATGAAGATATTGATACATAATATTGTAAACATGGAAAATATATAAATAAATATTTGAATAATATTAATAAATATTGAATTAACACGTATAATAATAAGAAAAAAAACGAAAAAAAAGATATAACATGTATATATATATATATAATTTAGTCTACAGATAAACACAACAAGTATTAATAGGGACTAGAATTTCGGAACTAGCCGAATTTTACTCAAAGTTACAAGAATGAATTTCAATACACATTTCCTAAATAACAGTAGAGATTGATCAAGATTCCAGGGTAGGTTTAAACTGACGATTATCACAAGAAATTGGAAGTTAGACATAGATCCTAGCTCCTGTAATTGATCGGGCGATAGAATATAACTTAACTGACACCAAAATGTATCTCTAAATTCAGTAGATGTGGCACAATGCAATAATATATGGACTATCGGACACGAAAAGAACAAACCGCACTTTTCACACAGGGTTTTTACTTCAGACTGGGGAGAGTCTACCCTTATAAGACACAGAGGTTTGATAATAACACGACAACTATTTTTAAAAGTGGGGTCAGCCCTCCAAACATCATAGGCAGCATGATGTTCAATTTGTGAGTGAGCCTCTTTAAACAAGACAAAATTGGAGTCACTATCAATTCTATCTTTCAAAGATCTGAGTTCACTGTTACTGATCGATTTATATACAATATTCTTCCATTTAGATTTTATAGGAAATTGAGAAAACTCAAAAAAATTAACTAAAAAATTATTTAAACCATATTTATCAAGGATTGTTAGTATCTCTGATGCAAATCCTCGAGAGGAGGAACAGCACTGATACTTACATTCTAAAAGTCTGCTTATAAGCATTCTTCTAGGAAGAAAGACCACGTTTAAAGAGAGCAAACGACCAAAGAATAAGAGTTTTTGGCTATCAATGTGGGCTTCAATGGATGACCACCGAAGCACGAATATGAAGGCCCTGTATCATTTTACACACATAGCGGTGTGCCCGCTCTAGCATGAGCAGTTCATTTCACGATAATGCGCACCAGAGTTCACATCCATATAGGGCTTTTGAATAGCAACATACCATAATCATTTTTCTACTTGTAAGCGGATTAAGATATCTACTATGAGTTCCAACTTTAAACAGATTGATTGCGGTAGCTCTTATAGTTCGACAAGCCGACCTGGTCCTATCAATGGTATCAACATCACAGTTTAGTAAAACACCAACATGTTTTATTGATATATTCACAGGAAGATTTGAATTGTAGAAAACAGCAGGTTCAAACAATATGTGACTTTTAGGTTTGGACATGAAATGTAGAACTACACTCTTGGATGACGAAAACTTGAAGCGCCATATACGACTGTACATTTCGCATATTCCTAGGAGATTTTTGAGACCAGAAATTGTATCACTAGTGACAGCAACATCATCTGCCTGTGTTGGACAGCAGGAATGTAGACCGAGTACATTTGCACCTTTATCTGTATTAGAAAACTGATCCAGTAAACCATTAATAAAAAGTAGATACAGTTTGGCTGATAAGACACCGCCTTGTCTTACACCCCGCTATAATATAAATTGTCTTGATAATCCCTGTGGCAACCTTACACAACTCGACATTCTAGTGTAAAGATTATCAATTAGTCTCCATATAGAAGGATCTGTATTTGTTTGTCGTAGCTTCAGCAGTACGCCATCATGCCACACGCAATCAAAGGCTTTACTTCTATCTAGAAAAGCTACATGTAGATCACTATTGCGTTCAAGGTAGTGCCGAATGGTTTCTTGTATATTAAAGGAAGCGTGGATTGATGAAAGTCCTTTTTGATATGCCATCTGCTGTACATTCGGAAAATTATTGTCACTGCTAAGCTTAACTAATCGATTAACTAAAATTTTCTCGATCACTTTACCTATAGTAGGAGTGAGGGATATTCCGCGATAGGAGTTTGGGTCCATTCTATCACTACCTCATTGAGAATCAGATTGTATAAGATAACTGATTTGAATAAATTAGCAAGATGACGATAAAGTGTCTGTCCTCCATGGATCAAGTGTTCATAAGAGATGCCATGTACATCTGCAGCCCTGTTTCTCTTCAAAGTCTTGCATATTGATTCGACCTCGATGTTTGATGTCAACAACACTCTGGATGTTGCTTTTGTTTTGTAAGAATCACGTAAGAGATTGACCTTGTCTGTAACAAATTGGTAGAAAACGTCATTGTAGTCCGCAGTATCAGAATTACTGAAGATCGACTCAAAGTGATCAGCCCAAGCATTACTTATATCATTGGGATCTGAAATTACATTACCATTTATACCCAAACGACTACAACTAGCGGGTCCGTTTTTACTTTTTGAATTGTTAATAAGGGTCCAAAAAAGTCGTTGATCAATATCACACAGGGTGTCAATGTTATGGAAGTGCTCAATCTCGTATTTTGACGTAGCTTGTCTTAGATTCTTACGGAAGTTTGTTTTAACATACTTGTATTTAAAGAACGATTGTGAGGTATCACCCCTCGGTTTGCCATCAGATACCCATGCCTGTCTAGCCGCACGCATCTCAGAATGGATTGATTTCAGTACTGATGACCAATAAGGTTTAATGTTCTTTCGGTATTTTTTCACCGGAAGTAGCTCCCTTGAAGAAGACATTAATGCATCAACTATGTGATTATAACATGATTCAATCTGATCTTGGGTTGAGAGACTTTCAGAGTTTAATGTCCATAAGGAATTTGAAAAACCGTATGTGTAGTCTATTATCAGATTGTTTTGCTTAGCTTTAATCCACGATACAATGGGGGGTTGATTTACACTAGTAAACACTGTCATGGGGTTAACATCAATAGAACATAGGACAGGCGCATGATCAGAGATGTTGAACATTTTATCATTTGACAATATTTCTGAACGCAGTACCTTAGGCATGAAGCTACTTGGAACAAAAATATGATCGATCATGGATTTTGCACCATTTTTATGCGACTGAAATGTCCATTTTGGCCCTATACATGATCTATGACAATTTATGGAAGTAAGGTTATGACGATCCAACAGAAATTCAAGTGATTTCGTTCTAGAATCATGTTTGATATTATTTGTTGACTGCTTTATTTCACAATTTAAGTCACCTGCAACAACAACAGTTCCTAGATTTAAATGTGCTTCTACGATATCATCCAACTGAGATATAGCTTGTCTCAAAGTGTTAATGTTCTTATTTCTTGAGGGTAGGTAAACACAAATGCAGTAAAACGGATTTCTGTTAGGAACATGAAATTCGATAGCTATAAGAAAGTCATTCTGTCATTTAGTTCGAACATATCGAAAATGACAATTTGACTACAGAAAACTGCCATTTTGCCAAACACAGATCTCTGTAACTTTGAAGGGACATCCTGTTTTTTTTAGGTCGAAAAAATGGTCTTGTTAAAATTTATGAAAACTATACAAAATCTTGAAATCAAATGGATGGAGTTTAACGACTTACTTTTCTGCATATATACAAAATGCTGAGAAATATGACCCTGGACTGAACATTTCAATCATACAATTCATTTTCGGATCTTCGGAATACATCATTACATAAAAAAAACACCAAAATCACAAAATCCATAGCATCAAAGGTGGATTAATGCTATGGTATTACTCTCTAACGCAAAATTAAATACTCTGGATATCGCCGGATAATTATGGGAAGATTATATGTCAACTAGTAAATGAAATGGTCAGACGATT